CTCTCCACTGAGCTCCCCCTTCTGCCCTCTTGGGTACCCCCTCTCTGCTGCTGCTTGATTGCTAGTCCCAAGGGGACCCAGACAAGGGGAGGTCCAGAGGTCACCAAGACAACCTACAGACAACCTACGCTTCTTCCGCAGAGCCTGTGTTCTGCTTGTAGCTCAGGACAGGGGAGACCCATGGGCTTCCCAGTAGGACTAAGATCCACTGAGCCTCCTGTTTGCTGAGCACCCACTATATGCCCCTAGGATGTGAGCTTGAGGGCAGGGCCCTCTCTACTTTGTTTATGCTGTACCCATAGGATCTAGTACATAGCACATACTTAATCACTGTTAAAAAAAAAAAAAAAAAGAGTGGATGGAGCAGGCATTTGGCTCAGTGGCTAAAATACCTACATCCTCTATTGGAGTGCATGCGTTCAATGCCTTCCTCTGGCTCCTGACTAGCTTCCTGCTAATACAAACCCTGGGAGGCAATGATGATGGTGCAAATAATTGGGTTTCTCCCACCCAAGTGGAAGACCTGGGTAGAGTTCATGGCTCCCCAGCTTCAGCTGGTTGGCATTTGGGGAGCAAACCAGTAAATGGGGACTGTTTCTCTCTGCCACTCAAATAAATAATTAAAACAAAACAAGTAGATAGATGGAAGGAATTAGGCTAAATTCTGAATTGGGCACTGTGGGCACAAGTATGAAAAGTGCAATCCCAGTTCATTAAGAGAGAGGAACACCCAGACAAGCAATCACTCACAATCCTGAATAGGAGCTGCGAGGATGGTGGTGGCAGGAGCTGCAGTGGTGCCTGAGTCTCATTGCAGAGACAGGAAAGGCTTTATTCACTCCTCAATTCAAGGATTGCTCATGGAGAGCCTACTAGATGCTGGGCTATGGCAGGGAATAAGGTAGGTCCTTGCCCTGAGGGAGCTCCCAGTTGTTGGCATCATACAAGCAAACAAATAGGCAGTAACAAACAGGGCATGTGTCTTCATGGGGGAAATGCTGGGTAGGAGGGCAAAAAGCATCCAGTCTAGGCTGGGGGATTCTGGAAGGCTTTATGGTGCCATGAGTTCAGGCTAAGACCACTTGAGGGGTCCATGGAAATTAGGTGGAGAAAAAGAGTTCCAGGCCAAGGAAAATATGTGAAGGCGAGAGATCCTGGCAAGTTTCAAGGAAATGAGCAAATGTGTCAAGAATGCTGGCTGGAGTTACAGTAGGGTAGTGGGTGGGTGGGAAGACAGGAATCAAGAGAAGTAGGAGGGAATGGGGTGGGAGAGCTCAAAGCCAGGTCAAGGAGAATGGCTTACCTTTAGGGCCTGGGGACACATTTAAGAGTTTTAAGAAAGGTGACGATGAGTTCAAGTTTCTATTTAGAGAGATAACTCTGGGTACAGGGGGCAGGGCCGGAGTGGTATCCTAGAGACCAGTTCAGGAGTCTGGGCAAGAAGTGATGTTCTTTGTGATGATGATGTCATGGGGGAAGATGTCATGTTTGGGTGGAAATTTAGAACAATTAGGAATTTTCCAGGTAGGGTGGATGCTGCTGTTCAGAGAAAGCAACTATACATGAGTTTTCAGGAACTTGGCGTGATTTGGGAAGCACACATGTTTAGGTGTTTTCAGTTTGGGAAAGGACACAGGGATAGGAATGGGTGATGAGGCAGCATGAAGCAAAGCTTTGCTGAAGAGCTTTGGGAGCCTAGGTTGTTACTAACCCCCTTTTAGTGGAGCTGGGCAGGAGCTGAGAGGTTTGGCCACCTCCTGCAGGGGTTCCAGAAGGCTAAAGTCCATTAGGGAATTTTGCAGAGAAAATGCATTACCCAGAATCCAGAAGACAAGACCAAACAGTGTCCAAGGAAGTAAGCAGGTGAACCAAGAAAGGGGGGCAGGAGATTGCCCAGCACAGAGAAGTGAGATGAGTCCCAGGGATTCGGAATCACCCAGTCCCTGACTTACACTTGCCCCTTCTGCTTCTATGCCCCAAAGACATCACACAGACATCTGTAACTGTTTTTTCTCTAAAGAAGAGACTTAGAAAAGAACAGAGAGCGTGGGCCAACCAGCATAATGGTTAAGAAACTGGGCTCTGCTTCTTACTGGATTTGTGACTTAGGAGAAATAACAGAATCATTTTCCTCACCTGTCAGTGCTGTAAGGTTGAAATGAGGTAATGTGAACAGACAGCTTACATGGGGAAGATTCTCAAAAAGTCTTTGGTGTTACAAAGATTTTGATATAAGCCAAACAGGGCTTGGAATATAGGGCAAGGAGTTAGGAAAGGATAAGAAAGGCGGGCTCAGGAAAAGGGGACTGAGCTCCATGTGTGCAGAATTCTTCAATCGTTTCCAAGGCAAATGACATGCAGGTATCTCCCCACAGTCATATGCTGCAAGCCTATTTCACAATGTAGCAGTGTTGGAAGGCGGTGCCTGGTAACAGGTGATTATGTCTTGAGGGCTCTGCCCTTAGAAATGGATTACTGTCCTTATTTTTGGGCTAGGTAAATTGTCGAGAGAGTGGAGGAGCATTGTCGTGCAGCAGGTTAAGCTGCCACCTGGGACATCTGCATCCCATATTGGAGTGTCTGGGATAGAATTCTGCCTCGACTTCCCATTCAGTATTCTTGCTAATAATGCATCCTGGAAGGCAGCAGATAATGGCTCAAGCACCTGTGCCCCTTCTACCCACATGGGAAGCCCAGATGGAGTTCCTGGCTCCTGGCTTTAGCCTGGTCCAGATTTTGCTATTGCAGGCATTTGAGGGAGTGAACCAGCAGATGGAAGATCTCTTTCTCTCTCTCTCTTTCTCTCAGTGTGTGTGTGTGGGTGTCTGTCTCTGTTTCCTTCTCTCTGTCACTTAAATTAAAAAGGAAAAAGCAGACACATCCTCTTCTTGCTCTCATGTTTCCTTGCCCTTCACCTTCTTGCAGGGATGATGAAGCAAGAAGGCCTCCCCAGATGCTGGCCTCTCAGCTGTGGACTTCCCAGCCTCTGGAACTGTAGGAAATGAATTTCAGTCTTTTATCAGTTGATTACCTGGTGTCAGTTATTGTGCTATAGCAACACAAAATGGACAAAGACAAACACCAAGACTGGCCCCTGTCAGCCTATCCTTTATCTCCTAGTGCTCCCACCCTCACCTTACCCCACCACTTCGGATTTCCAGAACAAACCAGATTCTTCAACCCTTTGCCCAAGTTGTTCTATTGGAGAGAAAATGGCCCCTCAAACCTATCTTCACACCAAGTACCAGAAAGCTGTCAGAGACCTGAAGCACCGCTGGGAAGGGACCCAGTACATGCGTATTGAGAGGAGATGGTGTACTAAGAAGAAAGAACAGGAGGAAGTTTATATGGCAAAATAAATGACATGTGACAAAGTGCTTGGGGGAGACAGAGGGCAGGTGAGCCGAGGGGTATGTTTCTCTTGACAGTGGCACTAAGACTGGGTGAGAAGGGGGATTATTATTATTATTATTATTTTAAGATGTATTTATTTGAAAGGCAGAGTGACAGAGAAAGAGAGGGAGGGAGAGAGACACAGACAGAGACAGAGATATCTTCCATCTGCTGGTTCATTCCCCAAATGCCCACAACAGCCAGGGCTGGGCCAGGCTGAAGCCAGATTCCAGGATCTCCACCTGAGTCTCCCATGAGGTTGTCAGGGATCCAAGCACTTGGGCCATCATCTACTGCCTCCTAGGTGTATTAGCAGGAACCCTGGAATAGCCAGCACTCGAACCGGGCATGCTGATATGGGATGCGGGTATCCCAAGTGGCAGCTTACCCCGCTGGGCCACAGTGTAGGTCCTGAAAGGGGGAATTTTCAAGGGAGCCCCAGTGTATCTCTGAACTTCCAATCCCTCTCTTGTTTCCTCCTGCTCTCCTTCCGTCGGGGCCCCAGGTCTCCCGGAGGGCATTGTAAGCCTGAGATTATTGCTTGGGGACCACCTGTTCCTGTTATAAGCTCAGCACAATCTTGTGTTAGTGCCTCAAACACGTGAAGAAGATTGTGGAAGCCGGAGGAGGGTACAACTAACCCAACCCAGGTGAGCCTGGGAAGGCTTCTTAGAGGAGGGAAGCTGAGCCTTGGCCAAGGCTTAGAGGATCAAATAGGAAAGATTTTCAGACTATGACAACATGAACAGGGGCAGCTCCCTGTGATGATCGAGGAGGTTCTTCAGCCCCTCTTCTTCCCCAGCCCCAGTGCTGAGTTCTCCTTAGTGCTCCTCCCAGCCCATCCTTAGAGACAGTGACTATTCGAGCTGAAAGAAATCTTAGTGATCTTGCAGATTATCCTCATCTGCGAGCTTTACAGTTGTGGAGACAGAGACTCAGAGGGACAGAGAGACTTGCCTCAGTGGGTGAGGAACTGAGACTCAGAGCCCAGGGTTTCAGACTTCCCAGGGCCACAGTGCCTCACCACAGAGTCTAGGTCTTTCCTTCCCAGCTGATGACAGGGGAGGGGTTTTCGTGTCTGTAGCTCTGTTAACCACTGCTACCTCCTCTATCCTTTACTCACAGTTACCATCTGTTAGGCACAGTTCTAGCTACTGGGGATCCAAATAAAACGAAGTCTTCATTCTCATGTAGCTCACATTCTAGTGTGGAGACAGAAGTTAAAATAACCAAGCTCATAGCATGTCGAGTGTTAAGAGCTATAAATAAAATGAAGGTCAGCAAAGGGAATCGGATGTGATCATAAGGAGTCTGTTTGAGATAGAGGGAATCTACTGCTGCATAATAAATTAAGCAAGAACAGAAAGGCTTAAAGCAACCATAAATACTTCTTATCTCCAAGTTTCTGAGGGCCAGGAATTTGGGAATGGCTTAGCTGGGTGGTTCTGATATGAGGTTCCTCTTGACATAGCAATCAAGGTGTCAGCCAGGACTGCAGGCTAGTGGCTTGGCTAAGACCGGAGGGTCTGCTTCCAGGACTGCACGCTCACCTGTCTCTGCGCCAAAGGCCTGGGCTGCTCACTACATGATCCTCTGCATAGAAATGCTTGAATGCCTTTATAACACAGCAGTGTGTGATCCGAGGAAGAGAGCAAGGAGGAAGGCGCTGCCTTTTTTACTTTAACTTTTAGAATAATTTTAGATTTACAGACGAGTTGCAAAGATAGTATAGAGTTCCCACATTCCCAAGTATATTTCACTCAGCTTTCTCTAAAGTTAATATCTTACATAACCATGGTACATTTGTCAAAACTAAGAAGTTAACATTGGTGCATGACTATTAACATACTTTTTGCCAGTTTTTCATCAATGCCCTTTTTCTGTTCCAGGATCCGTTCCAGGACATTGTGTTGTATTTAGTGCTCGTGTTCCCTAGTCTCCTTCCATCTGGGACAGTCTGTTTTAATTTTTTATGACCTTGACAACTTTGAAGATCAGGTAATTTTGTATAATGTCTCTCAATTTGTATAATGTTTTCTCCTGATCAGACTGGGTTAGTCATAGTGTCTTCTATGACCTTGCGCTACAAGTCACACACCATTACTTCTACCGTGTTCTGTTCTTTAGAAAGGAGTCACAAAGTCCAGACAATAGTCAGTGCGAAGGCAATTAATTTCCTCTCTGTCTCTCTCTTATTTGAGAAGCAGAAAGACAGCAAGAGAAAAATAGCTCCCGTCTACTGGTTCACTCCCCAGATGCCCACAATAGCCAGGACTGGTCTGGGCTGAACCCAAGAACCAGGAACTCAGTCTAGGTCTCCCACAAGGGTAGCAAGAATACAATTACTTGAGCCACCACCACTGCCTTCCAGCGTTTGCATTAACAAGAAGCTGGAATCAGGAGTCAGACCTAGAAATTGAATCCAGGCATTCCTATGTGTGATGCAGGCACCTTAACCACTAGGCTAAACATCCACTCCCATGACATGACTTTGATGGATCACTCTGGCTGCTGTTTGAGTAGATTGTAAGTGGCAAGGGTGAGTGTCCAATGAAGAACTCAGGAATCTTCCAGAAGGGGGCTCTTTCCTTAGGGAGAGTGCTGCTGGTCGTCTCATTTAATGCCTAGCTCAGAGGCCAACACGAGGATTAAATGACATAACACATCTAGGGTGCCTGGCACACTACAGATGCTGAGCATAACCATCTTGAGGAGCAGCATCGCCAAGAGGAGGAGGAGTGCTGGGGGTCTGGACAGCGCCCTTTCATAGCTGGTGCGAGGCGTGGCTCTGGGGAGACAGGGTAGAGGAAACTCAGTTCCTGATTGTGAGGAGCTCAGAGCGATGGGTTGGGCAGTCAAGCAGGAAATAACCGCAACACGACTTGGCCAAATCTTGCCACTTCTTTTGCACAGGGGACTCGAAAAGGGTCCTGGGAGGAAAGCCTAGAAAAGTGCCAAAGAGGAGACTTCCAGGGTTACCTAGAGAAGAGAACAGAGGATTTCCAGGCAGAAAGAGCAGCATGTGCACAGAGGGTGGCACAGCTCTGTGCCCACTTGAACGGCAGTAAAATGCGCCGAGTTTTGGCGGATTGTCTTGAGTCAGTGCTGTGAGCCTGTTGGGGGAGCAGTGTCAGGACCATGGCACCGACCCTCCCATGTCCTCGCCCAGAGAAGCCTCACCAAAAGAAGCCTTGGCCGCAGCCCGATAGCCTGACAAAGAGCTGTCCCCTCTCCCTCTGTTATGTGCTACCTCCTGTCACTTGCAGTAAACATAAATCAGGGGATAAACATCCTGCTCATTCTTCAGGGTCTTAAAAACTGCTCGGTGTCTGGCATAGCAGGGGGGTAAGACCCTGGGTTAAGTGCACGTCCATTTTACGGATGGAGCAAAGTACCCTCTGCGGGGAGAAGGCTCTCACACAAGTCTGAACTTCCTCTCGACCTCAGAAATCACCAACTACGATTCAGCTGGGTGAGTTTTTTCTCCCACGAGGCATGGAAAAGAGAAACAAAGAAGTTAGGGGAGCAAAAAGGACAAGAATGCGAATGAGACAGGAACACTGAGGAGGACACAGTTAGAGGATGCAGAATGCATCTGGGGACAGGAAAGGGCAGGACGTCTCAGGGAAGTTTGAAAAAAAAGAAAAGAAAAAGAGAAAAAAAAGCAGCTGGAGATGAGCTAGGAGAGAGGCTCTTTTCCCTAAATAAATGCCAGCTGATAATCGTCGCCTGTGTTTCTACAGAGTGATCCTGCTCCGGCAGCACCTGCCCTCGCTTCACCCTCGCCGGCACCCGGAGTGGGAGGCACTTCCTTCACTCTTCTAGCAAATATTTATTAAGCGCCTACTTTGGGTCAGAAGCTGTTCAAGGTGCTAAGGGTACAGCTGTGAACAGGCAACAAGCATGTAGGTAAGTTAATAAATCTCTTTTAAATAGAAGCACAGGTGGTGAGGGATGTATAACAGAATAACAGGACTGGGTGTGTCGGGGAGGCTGCCCCGACCAGGGCATTCTCACCTGTGCAAGTGAGGAGTAACGGGACCTTCCTTACCAGGCTGCCGTGTGATCCCAGGGGTTAACGCACGGGATGCTTACAGAGCAAGCTCTCTTCACTATTACCCTCGTGCTGGCGGGGCCTGTTGATCTGGGGAAATTTGATGTTTTTCTTTGGGTTGTGTGCTTTTTTTTTTTTAATGTTTATTTTATTTATTGGAAAGGCAGAGTTACAGAGAGAAAGTGGCAAGGGGAGACAGAGAGAGATTGATTTTCTATTCTGGTTTACTCCCCAAATGGTTGCAACAGCCAGGGCTGGGCCAGGCTGCAGCCAAGAGCCAGGAGCTTCTTCTGGGTCTCCCGTGTGCGTGCAGGGGTGGAAGCACTTGGGCCAATTTCTGCTGCTTTCCCAGGTGCATTAGCAGGAAGCTGCATTGGAAGTGGAGCAGCCAGGACTTGAACTGTCCTCCATAGGGGATGCCAGCATTGCAGGCAGTGGCTTAACTTGCTGTGCCACAGTGCCAGCCCCAGGAATGTGCACTCGTTGAAGGAAAGGACCACTGTCTGTCTTGCTTACTGCTGTGTAGATGACCGCATAGCCCCATGTCTGACATACAATCTGTACATGTTTGTTGGGTAAGTGAATTCCCATTTTACCAAAAGAGGAAGCAAGCTGAGAGTTTAGAGATGGAAACCGTGCAGTGAAATTGGTGGCAGAGACCATGCCTCTGAAAGGTCCCTCGGAAACAGGTGGATGACAGCAGTGGGACAAGATCCAGACAGGCCCTGGTACCACCTCAAAAGTGGGCATAAAAGGAGCCCTGGGCCTGGAACTCTTCCTTCTTCTTCCAACCTCTTGCGACCAAGAACAAAGGAGAGAGCATGGCACCCACCTCCAGACTTTGTTCCTCACCATCCTCCCGTGGCCAGCACCCGTCCTCCAGAGCTGCTCGCTCCACACCATCTGTCTCTGCAGGCAACCCTGGCTGCCCAGCAGCCTATGCTGCCTTCTTCCTTTGCCGCCTTTCCCCGTCTCGTCTCTTCTCTTTCCTCCTCTTTGGGCTCTCTGATCTTGATTCCTCCTCCTTGCCTTTCTCTCCCTCCCTTCACAGAGTAGTAGCCTTGCTCTTTGCTCCCTCAACTGAAGGGCAGCAGAGCAGTAAAACAAAGCGCTGTCAGCAGAAGTGCATTTCCACTGCATTCATCCCCACGCAGAGAAGATTTATCAGGGTCCCTCACCCCACCCTGCTATGTAAACGTTGTAATCCAGTGGAAATGGGAGATCGGAAGAGTCTGAGGGAAAAGTCACCATAAAATCTCTCAATCACCCATGGGCCTGGGCTTCCTGAACTCCCTTGCTGCCTTGCCCACCTCCTGCCTCCCCCTCTGGGGGAAACTTGGCAGGTGGGGACAGCTGACAAAAGATGCTTTCTTTCTGCCCCCTTGGGTGCTCGCAGGTCATCTGCAGGAGCAAATGTTTGTAAAGCACTTGAGAAATTATCAAGTGCTGCATAATCCAAGGGCATTATTTCTATTGCTCTGTGGGCTGTCTTTGTGTCTGTTTGGCCTGATGGATGCTGGGTCTTTCTGAAACCAGGGCTGACCCCACTCTTGGGTGTCCATAGCATCCTTTGCTTGCCTGCATCTTTGAACAATGCCTTCCTGTTCCTTCTTATATCTAACAAAGGATTATTTTTTTTTTTTTTTTTTTTTGACAGTGAGAGAGAGACAGAGAGAAAGGTCTTCCTTCTGTTGGTTCACCCCCCAAATGGCCGCGATGTCCGGTGTGCCGCACTGATCCGGATCCGAAGCCAGGAGCCAGGTGCTTTTCCTGGTCTCCCATGTGGGTGCAGGGCCCAAGGACCTGGGCCATCCTCCACTGCATTCCCGGGCCACAGCAGAGAGCTGGACTGGAAGAGGAGCAACCGGGACTAGAACCCAGGGTGCCGGCGCCGCAGGCGGAGGATTAGCCTAGTGTGCTGCGGCACTGGCCCCGTTTGTTTCTTTCTACATAGCCCTTGGCACCCCACAATTAGAAGATTGTTTGTCCTCCAACTTGAATAGGAAGGTAAGCTGTTGAAGGGGATGAGGATCTTGAGAGAAACTCTCCACATTCCCACCTGACTGGAATCAAGGGTGGGCTAGATGCAGAGGTATGGGGAACTAGAAGGGAGACCAGACCCCAGGCAAGCTGTCCTGAGGGCTTCAGAACTGCACGTGCCATTCTCAGTTACTTAGTCCTAGGTGCACAAAGACTGCTACAGAGCCCCTGGTTTCTAAAACAGGGACGAAAGCCTGGTGGTTAAAAGCTGTAACTCTGCTACTTTCCTGTGGGGAGCAACTGGGAGCAACTCGGACTAGACTGTTACTGGAATTAAGAATTATTCTATGCATCTGCTTTCCCACAATATGGCGCTGAGAAGGGAGTAGCAACTTCTGCGCAGCTGCCTCTCACCAGCTTGGGTGATGACCTGCAGGAGCTGATCCTGCTCCTGATTGGAGGAGAGCAGCGTACTCGGCGTGTGGGTAGCAGAGTTGGGATTGGTGGAAGAGGACTATAAAGGAGGAGAGAGACAACATGCACCAGGAACATCTAAGGGGAACATCTATCTGAAGGAACGCCTGTGCAGCCCCCAAGAGAGCCGGCCGGTGGTGTGCCGCTCCCCTGCGGAAGTGGGGAAAGTGGCCAGGGGGAACCGCCCTTCCACGGAGGTGGAAGGGACGGCAGCCAACCCGGGAAGAACCAGCAGCAAACCCGGGGAGGGCCGAGCAGACAAAAGAACAGCGCAGGGTCCTGTGTCGTTCCTCCACGAAGACGGGGAGCGACATAATGGTGCCGTGACTCGGATATGAAGCCTAGGCAGGGTTTAGTGTCGTTCCTCCACGAAGAGGGGGAGCGACACTTTCCAAAGGAGCTTCCTCTCATTTTTTACTTGCAAAATGCCAGTGATAATGGTATCCGCTTGTTGTGAGAAATAAATGAGGCAAAGCTTGTGAAGAGGTAGCACGTACTAAAACAATTTTCTTGTTTTAAGTGGCAATCAGAAAGCTTTGGTTGTGGGCCTACCTGTCAAAGCCGTGGCCATGGAGATACAGACCCTGCTGCGTCATTGTCCCATTGTCACTAGGAGCCCCCCTAGGTCTGGGTTGTGCCTGCTTCTCTTGCTGTCTACACTCAGCAGTCCCTGGGAGCTGGAGCTGAGGATTGGAGGAGGCGATAGAAAGGCAAGAAGAGTTTTGGGGGAGGTGGGTGTCTCCACGAAGAAATGTCAAGAGTCAGAGCTGGAAGTGAGGGAGGTGGCGGGGGTGGAGGGAGGAGGGAAGAACAGAGGATGTCTCTGAGCTGCCAGAATCCGGATGGGGCTGCAGCTCGGGGGCCCTGGCACTTCCTGCCACCCCCAGTCTTGGGAATGAGTCACCAGAGGGAGGAGTGACGGAGGCGTCATGCTCTGCCCACGGAGCATCGGGTTCTGTTCCCCAAAAGAGGACTAGTGGGAGGGAGAAGGCGATTCAGAGCTTAGGGCCGCCGGGAACTTGGTATAAGGGGAGCGAGGAGGAGCTCCGAAGACCCACTTACTTACCCAGGGAGCTAGGCCCCGTCCTGCAGCAGCTTCACTCTCTGCCCTGTCCATAAAACATCAGTTGTTCTTCTGGCTTCAGCCTCTGCCGGGCCGCTTTTTCCCAGAGAGAGAGGTTTCACATTCTTCTGGTCAACTCTGGAAAGGCCCTTGGGGGGCCTTTGGCCTGATGGTTGACATGCTGGTTAAGATGCTGCTGTCCTCGGGAGGCGCTGTGGTGTTGTGGGCTCAGTCTCCATCTGCAGCATATGTTCTAGTTCTGGCTGCTCCTCTTCTGATCCAGCTCTCTGCTATGGCCTGGGAAAGCAATGGAAGATGGCCTAAGTCCTTGGGCCCCTGCACCCATGTGGGAGACCCAGAAATAGCTCCAGGCTCCTGGCTTCAGATTATTCCAGCTTCGACCATTGCAGCCTTCTGGGGAGTGAACCAGTGGATGGAAGATCTTTCTCTTTGTCGCTACCTCTCTCTGTAACTCTACCTCTCAAATAAGTAAAGTCTTTTTAAAAAAGGGTCCAATTCTTGACTCTTGATTCCGACTTTCTGCTAGTGTAGACCCTGCCAGGAGGCCAGTGGTGACTTTGATAATTGGGTCCCTGCCACTCACTTGGGAGACCCAGACTGAGTTCCAGTTTCCTGGTTGTTGTAGGTGCTTGGGGTACAAACCAGTAGATGGACAGTGTCTCTGCTTGTCTGTCTGCCTCTTTAATAAAGAAATAATAGATGAAAACTAAATGAATCAATAAATGAATCTTCTCCCCATTAAAAGATTTTCCCTCTGCCTCTGGGCAGTCTATCTGATCCCTCAGTCTTCCATCTCTTCAAAGTCAAGGTCATCTTGCTATCCCTAGAGCCCAGGCAAGTGTTAGGCAAAAATGTACAGATGTGGCCTGGGCCCAGAAATACAGCTTTTTCTTCCTCTCTATTTAGTCACTGCTATTCTGCTTTATGGTTTCCATTTACTAAGCATCTACTATGTGCCCAGTGTCCTCACACATTAGTTTCTTTGTTTTAGAGATGAGAAAATGAGCTCAACGAGGTTAAGGAATATGTTCCAGGTGACAGAGTCAGCCGGTGGTGGAACTGAGATTTGCCAGCAAAGCACTCAATTTTTCTGTTATTCTTCTTTTAAGAATCTTTTAATTATTGTTTTAAAGATAACAATCAGAACTCTTAGTTGTAAGAATTTGACAAAGAATTGCAGTTAATCAGTTTTGTTGAGATGTAATTTGTTTACTATACAATTCATTCATTTATAGTAGACAAGGTGATGGTCGCAGTCAATCCTAGAACCTTGTCATCATCCCACAGGAAAGTGCCACACCTATTTGAAGTCATTCC